TGGATTTGTTTTTAATATTTTCACTTCTACCCATGTGAATTAGAGAGAAAAGTAATCATCTTATTCCTCCATTTTAGCCATTATTATTTAGTCCATCATTTCTTCTTTGGGTTTGATTCCATCCTCTTGTGTTTGGCTCCTGAACTGCTCTACTGTTGCTCACACCTCCCACTGTGGAGCTTTAGCTTTTTAGTTTGAATAAAAAGCATCTAAAGAGAGAAGAATGGGGTCTAACTAACTTCACTTCCATGTTAAAGATGTTTGATGTTCTAAAATGTTCCACTGCAGTTCTACAAGGTACTTGAGCTGCTGCATTTGGAGTTCTACTCAAGCTGGTTGTTACTTTACTGAAGTAACCACACTTTTACTAGAAGATGGATCTGAATACTCTACAGCATTGGATGTAAATGTTTATTCAGATAAAGTGTTGAAGTTCGTCCTGATTTAATTACATCTTATGGTCCACCAAGAGAGGTGAATGAGGGGTAACTCTGGCATAGAAACATGACAAACACAGCTGGGTACTTTTTGTACAGCAAAATAAGGAACTGTGTTGCTGTGGCTATCGGGCACAGTAATAAACAGCAGTGTCCTCACTCCTCACGCTGTACATATAAAGGTAGACTTGGTTTTTGCTCTCATCACTGGAGATGCTGAATCTTCCTTGCAGTGTGCTAGAAAAATAAATGTTGCCGCTGCCAAGCATGTAACCAATCCATTCCAATGCTTTCCCTGGAGCATGTCTGATCCAGCCTACATAATAGCCACTGATCGAGAATCCAGAGCCAGTACAGGTCAGTGTGTGAGATCCTCCAGGTTCAATGACCGCTGGTTCAGACTCAATCAGTGTTTGACCTCTAATACCTGCAAGAACATGATTGATTCAGATTGTGCCAACAAGAAAACTGAAAATCATTTAAATCCTGTCTTGTTATTCCTCACCTGTAAGACATGCAGACAGGAGAATAATTCCTCTGAGGACGGTCATAGTTCAGCATGAAGAGACGACTGCAGGCCTAAAACCTCTAATCTGTCAGACACTGAAGTGCAGTGGATGTATTTGTATCAGTGCACATTTAAATGAGCCCCTTCTTATTTGACAATGCAAATTTTGCTTTGGAGATAAATCTAATACATCATTGGGGAATTTAGAAAGGATAGAAGAGTCACTACCATCACATATAATACTTGACACAACTTGTTAGGTCAGATTCTGAAGAAGAGAAACAGCAGGACTACATCAAATTCTGAAACTTGCTACCTCTGAGTAAGCTTTCAATGGGCATCTGTGACAGTGAATCAACCAAGCAAACTGGAATTAACAAGAAAAGAATATACTTTGGGACTGTGAAATGCTTTACAGACAGACTGGAACAAAAGAATATTCAGGTAAATCTTTCAATTATTGAAGACGCTGAGCTGAACCTGATATTGTGACAGTTTTATGGATCTATTTGTAATATAGAAGAGTACTACTTTTGTAGGTGGGAAGATATACCAAAAATAAAGCACATTTTACACAATCAGCTTCTTTTTTTTTCTTTACATATATGCTGTTTTTCAAGTCACATCTGATGTTGAAATGGATAATTATACCATTCATTACATTTTTAATAATAATTTTAATAATATATGATAGATAATCAGTATTGACATTTACAATTATGTCCTGAATTTTTATTCAATAGCCCTTTTTATGGTGGTTTTCCAAGTGAAAGCAACACTTTATTAAATGAAAAATGAAAAGAAAAAGTGAATTTATTAACTGTTTATTTAATAATTTAATTGAATTGTTCAACATTATTCAAAGTTAGTGGACAATCAACTACTGTGTGGATATGAAGCACCATGAATGTATAACTCATGATGTTCCTCAGCTCCACAGAGCAGAAATAGCAAAGGCAGAAAAGGGAATTCTGGCCTAAAATTAGGAAATAATATGTTATTTGTTTGTTATGCAGTATTCTCTAGTGCAGCTTTGAAACCCTTCAGCCTCACCAGAATTCACTATTTTGGATCCTTTTGTGTTCTTTCACTACAATACTCAGTATGCACTGTGCAAATGTGCCATACAACCACTGGGAATCACTCACATGGTGCTAAGAAATCCTGGCTATATTCAGCTTCCCAGTAGTAACGTTAGCTATCTGGCTTCATTCTGCATTATTCACATTTAAGGAAGGGGTTCCTGAAAATCTGACTCTATGTTTTACTGCAGTGCCACTGTAAGAGGCACGTAGGAATAATAATACACAATAGCTTCTATTACAGAGAGGGTGAGTTTGTATGGACTGCCCTCTAGTGGTTATGTTTGTATACATGTGCAAGAAAGACACAGGATTTAACTCTTCAGTCTTCAGTTCACATCTCATTACGTTTAGACTTTCAGTCAGAGAGACCTGGGATAGCAGTAGGTGGCAATAAGAGATCAAGAAATTTTGAAATTCCATCATAATAATATATAGTGATTTCATGAATCAAAATCTCTTAATTACTCAGAAATTCAGCTTAACCTCTCAAAATCTCAGGCTTATTGCAAACTAAGGCTTATTTTTCAGTAACTACACAGACTTTAGTGCAAACAGGTTGAAATCTTAGGTTATAGAAGTGTATAATAAAACTTTGGGCCTATCGCTGGGCCCTGTCCATTTAAGGAGTTAATATCAGCATGATCCTGACCACAGAATGATGACACAATTTCAGAGTCTATAAGACGTCTTTTACTGAGAATGTATAGAATCATAAATATGATATTTATTATGTCAGTTACCCAAATGAATTAGATGAAAACAAAAGTGTGTAACGAGTTTTCCCATTTACTCACATCTATGAAGTCAAGTAATACTGAAATGGAATTGTCTTTTCCTGGGTGTTTTCAAATGATACTTTACTTCTAGTACATCAAGGTCATTAGTAAGTAATCAACTTTCTCAACTTTTTCATATTATTAATTTTTACCTTTTTACCAATAGCATTTTATTACATCTTAGCAATAAAAATTAGTACGTTATTTTAGATCAAATGGGTCAAAAAGAGAGGAATCGAGTGTAAGTGTTGTGTGGAGAGTAATGAGGCTGAATGTAAGCGCGACCAAACTAGTAGAAACTCAACACATTACAAGGTTTTAAGTCTAGAAACAAATTAAGCAAATAAAACACAGGACAGGCACATCACCAGTACATATACACAGTAAGGCAATGTAATGTAAAGTAGACTAGACAGCCAAGGACTGAAACAGAGGGAACACCTTAGAGAGGGAGGAGACTGGGACTACAAACAGGTGAGAGTTCTAATAGGGAAGGCAGGAAAAGGGGCGGGGCAAGGAACCAATACAAAACACAAGCACATGGCTAAAAAGGCACACTCAGAGGGACAATGGGAAAACTGGACAGTACGAAACCTCAGTTCCTAAATGGTAACAGTGTAGATGTTCTGCAGATACTCAGTGTATCTTTAAGTAACATTCAACTAAATTTCCATTAAATACAACTGAACTTCAAGTTCAGTGTGAAAGATTTTATTAAATCTGTCCCTAACCCTAAACCTAACCCTAACTCTAACCTCAAGGCAAAACCTACGCCTACTCCTAACCCTAAACCTAACCATAATGTTGTTGATAATTAACTAGTATCACCAGAACTTTTGTTAATGATTTAAGTATCTGTAGAGCATCTATAGGGGACCATCCAATTAAAGTGTGACCTACAGTGTATACATAAATTATAAAACTAACATGATATTTTGTAGTATAGTTTGTAAAATATAACATAAAATAATACATAGGCTAAAATATTTCAAATTCTTCTCATTATATTAGAGTCTTAGTCAAATTTTCCTGCTTCAAAACTAGTATTAAGCTCAACTCCATCCTCTGGAACTACTGTCTCAAACCAGTGTTTATTCTAGCATCTTACTTACCGTCATATTTCACCTCATTGATCCCTTTCTTTGCCACCATACACACTTTAACTGCTGCTGCACTCAGCACTTTATTTTTAGACTCATACTTTGCACATTGTAAGGTTTACAGGTATGACTATATGTGTGTGTGTGTATGAGTGAGTGAGGGTAGGAATGCATGTTTTATTTTATTTTATTGTTTTTTTTTATTTTATTTTATATATATATGTTTCTATATATGTCTGTCTGGTACTGTGCACTGTGAGCTCCTGTAACCAAAACCAAATTCCGTGTATGTGTAAGCATACCTGGCCAATAAAGCTTGATTCTGATTCTGATTCTGATTTGGCATTGAAACTTTTGGAAGTATATGATGGTCAGGCTATTCTCTGTCTCTTCTTCTCTAAAACTGTTTCAGGGTCACCCACCCAATGTAAAAACTGAAAATAAACCAAACAACTTACATCCTGTTTTTACCATTAAAGTCAAACATATTTCAAATTAAATATTGATCTGCCCTCAGGGGATGTTTAAATCATTGGAACCAGTATTCTCAACAAACAGATAACACTCAGTTACATCCTCAACCAGCACTGAACAGATTTTATTTAAACATAGAGTTTGATGGTGTTGTTGGTATTTCACTATAACAGAAATACGTTTCAGCTTCTAATTACCTCAGACAGAAGCACTGCACTCAACCAGTTGTGAGAAAAATTTCCACTTTACTCAACACAAGACGGAATCAAAATGATACTGGGACCGAGACCAGACTGGAGTACTACAGCACTACTGAGCAGTTCTACTGCAGTTCTATAAGTTACTCAGTACTTCAGCTGCTACTTTTGTACTTCTACTCAGGTTGTTTGTTGGGACTTTTACTCATTATTTCACTGAAGTAGCAATGCTTTTACTGGAGGGTGGGTTTCGGATACTCTAAAGCTCTGGATGTAAATGTTCATTCAGTTCAACAGTTGAAGACTCTAATGAATTAAATACATCTTGTGGTCCATCCAGAGAGGTGAATGAGGCATCACTCTGGCATAGAAACACAGCTGGGGGCTTTTTGTACAGCAAAATAAGGAACTGTATTGCTGTGGCTATCGGGCACAGTAATAAACAGCAGTGTCCTCACTCCTCACGCTGCTCATTTGAAGGTAGATCTGGTTTTTGCTGTCGTCTCTGGAGATGCTGAATCTTCCTTTCAGTGTTGCAGAAAATTCAATACTACTGCTGCCATAGATGTGTGCGATCCATTCCAGTCCTTTTCCAGGAGGCTGCCTGATCCAGCCCACCCAGTAGCTGCTGAACGTGAATCCAGAGCCAGTACAAGTCAGTTTGTGAGATCCTCCAGGTTTAATGACCGCTGGCTCAGATTCAGTCAGTGTCTGACCACTTACACCTGCAAGAACATGATTGATTCAGATTGTACCAACCAGAAAAAGACAAATCATTTTAAATCCTGTCTTGTTATTCTCACCTAGAAGACATGCAGACAGGAGAATAATTCCTCTGAGGACGGTCATAGTTCAGCATGAAGAGACGACTGCAGGACTAAAACTTCTAATCTGTCACACACTGAAGTGCAGTGGATGTATTTGTATCACTGCACATTTGAATGAGCCCCTCCTTATTTTACAAGGCAAATTTTGCTTTGAAGATAAATCACACTGTAAATCACACCTGATTTCTGAAATTATGTATCACAATGTGGAAAAGACAGTCAGTTTTTTCAAGTGACATCAGATACAGACACATTTGGAGGAAAAATGTCTGTATGACAAAACATATGGCTTTGTCATTACAGATTACTTCCAGAAATTAAACAGAGTAATGTCACCATTACTGTAAAATTTTCATGACAGTTGTCATAAAGTTCAATGTCATGACAGCTAACAAGAGTACATTTAGTAAAAATGAGCTGCCGCGATATCAAACATTATGACATCTGTTCCTGATTACAGACACAATCATTGAAACTTTGGGCTAAATTTGGGTATGAATGAACTAATTGTGAAGTTTTGGTAACAGTATAACAGTGTTGTTTTAGCATGACCGATATTTGTCCTGACAGATACCATAATGTTTGATGTCATGACAGCTTAGGTGCTAATTGTTGCTGTGTACTCTAATTAGCCAACATGATATCAAACTATTCATCTTAATTATTATTAATCATTGTGATATATGTCATGATAGTTAATGGTAAGCTAGCATGACATTTTAATATTACTGGATATCATTTGTCATGGCAACTCATGAAAGAAAATATGACATCTACCATGACATGCATGGCATAGTTACTTCACGAATATGACGTTATGTGGCAGGGTTCAGGTAAAATGTTACCAAATCGAATGTAAAAACACCAGAACATTATAATTAGGAGGGGTGTCCACATACTTTTGGCCATATAGTGCAGAAATTGATTCCTTTCTGCTGTTTCATGATGTGATTATTTGCTGTCATTAATCCTGTTCAATCCAAACTTATTCTAAAGCGAAGCCAAATCAAACATAGTGGGCCTGTTAGATCTAAATGATTGTTTATGAAATTTGACAGCCTTGCATAACTATTATGTTTAGCCTAATGTTTTACCAAGTGACTGCTGCTAAATGTTCATATTTGCACATAGCTAGTTAACTAATAGTGTAATAGTGATTATTACTGCTAATCATATTCATCATCTCAACACAGTTGGTTAACCCCTTAAAAAGCCATGGGCCTGACAGTGGTCCCAACGTTTATAATAAAACCTCTATAACTTAAGAATAGCTCAGCCAGTTTGCATCGATGTTCCTGTAGTTACTGAACAATAAGTCTCAGTATGTAAAACGCCTGGGTTTTTAAGGAATTAATCATGGAGGGCTGAAAGGAAGCATGTTTCCTAAACTGATTGGACAGCACTGAACATGTAGCAGTAAAGTGTAAAGAGAAGAACCATTTTACAAGTTTTCTGTATAAACCAAATTTTCTCTATTACCATTCTATTAACAACAGGATGCAGCTGTTTCAAGCATGAGGTTAAAGAGAACAGGAAGGGTTCTAGATGTCAGATGGATGGCATTGTTTGAAACAGTTCATTTTGCTAGTTTAAAGGCTGTAGTGTGACTTTTGTCTTTGTCAGAATCTAATTGTATTTTGAGGCCAAAACAGACAAAAAAGTCACCTAAGTAACTTCTGCAAACTAAGTAACTTATGCCTTATTAACTTGCTGGTGATGGTCATGAAAAAATTGGGTTACCTCACCTCCAAAGTCTCAATATAACCACTGTGTGTAAGAGATAAACGGGTTACAAATCAAATATCTGTTTGGAAGTGTCAATCAGAACAGCACATCACCACTTTCTTCAGGATGCACTGGTCAAGCATTGACCATGGTGAAAAGTGGGGTAATAAACACATTTTCTAGTATTTGGTGAGTTTCTATCCAAGTTCAGGTTTTGTGTCCATATTTTTAGTCAGATACTATTTGTTTGTATCCTGAAGTTTTATGTCAATGCTTTGTCCTTTCTTTCAAAACAAGCTCTGTTGTGAGTGAGTTTTTGTACGTCTCAGCTGGTCTCTTACAGCACTGTGATGGACGTCGAGCACAGTAATACACAGCTGTGTCTTCAGCTTGCAGATTCTGTCCTTGTAGGGTTACTGTGTTTCTGGTTGTGTCTCGAGAGACACTAAACTTGCTTTTCAGTGAAGCTTTAGCATCTATGCTCCCAGAATAATAAATGGTGTTGATCCATTCCAGAGCTTTTCCTGCAGGTTGGCGGATCCAGCCTGTTCCATAATGGCTGCTGCTGTCAGTGATAGAAGCTCCAGATACTGTACAGGTGATGGTTAAAGGCTCTGCTGGTTTGATGAGCACTGAGTCTGGCTGGATGAGCTCAGTAGCACAGAACACATCTGTGAAAAGAGAGAAGAAAAGGTTTGTATATTTGCAGTAATAAATCAGATGAAGTCAAATCCAGCTTCAGTTGGACACTCACACGAGGCAGCAGCCAGCAGCAGCAGTGGAGCTGAAGAGAACATGTTTGTGCTGCATTTAGAGTGATGGAAGCTGCTGTAGAGGGAGATGCTGCTGATATTATGAGAGCAAATGGAGATTTGCATATGAGTAAAAAGGGTTTGGATGACAGGAATGGGGCTGGTTCTCATGTGGGCTGTGCTAGATAACAGAACTTGATACCATTAGCAAACATGCACAGGCTGCCCTCTAGAGGCTGACATAGGGGCTGAATCGAAAATCACGTACTGTATTATACATTATATGGTATTGAATGCAGTAATATTGGTGGTGCACCACAGACTTCAGTTCCAGAAAAGATATTTCATGTTTTGTCTTATGAACTTCATAGGTTTGTGCAGCATTTTCCAAAAAAGAGACAAAGGTGATTTAAGACTAAAAACATTAAGAAATGTCCACAAAGCATCTTAAACAGGTGATGCAGTCATGCTTGGGTATAAAAGGAGCATGCAGGAAAGACCTTGTCCTACATGAGTATGATGGGTTGATTCTCACCACTTTGCCTCAGCAAATAATCCAGTGGTTTAATGAACAAGCAATTACTTCAATACTTATACACTTACAGACTTTATAATTCAACAAACATGATGGATCTATAAAATAAAAATGAAACAAAAATGAGCTTGAACTAATCCTAAAAAGGATGGGAGAGATTGCTGATGTTCTTTGGCCTTCGCCATACTTGTCTGACAAAGAGTTTTGAAATATTTGCTGCTCAAAAGTATCTTGCTGGCAACTTTAATGGGCTGAACTAACTTTCACTCCCAGCAATGGGGAAAGAAAGGGAAGAAAACAAAAAAAGAATGCATTTGCTATGCAGCAACATGAGAAACTGAAAAATAAGAACACGCACACACAGCCGCTTATCCTTCTGGGTCATGAGGGGTGCTGAAGTCTATCCCAGCGGTCACTGGGCGGAAAGCATGAAACACCCTGAACAGGTCACCAATCCATCACAGGGCAGACACACAGAAATATACATTCACACTCACACCTACGGGGCAGTTTAGCATCTCCACATGGCCTGACTGCATGTCTTTGGACTGTAGGAAAGAAGCTGTTGATGTTGAATAATGGACTGACCGCTACAGAGTCCAGACCTCAACATTACTCAATGTGTTTGAGGTTATTTAGATCAAGAGAAGCAAAAAATGTAACCAGCTTCTAAGACTGAACTTTGAAGGTGTGGAAAAATATTCCTTGAACAACTGCAAGCAAGTGTTTAGTCATCAGTATAATAAAGAATAACAACCAAATTGTAGCATTTGTTTTATTTATTTATTTTAAATTTTAGATAACTCGGCTGAATTAGCCCAATATTACATTTCAAACCTGGAACAAAGAAAGACAAAGACAATCTCACTCATTTAAAACATAAAGTAGTGATAAATTGTGTGTTTTCTATTGGTAATTGTTTATATTCCAGTCCATAAAGAGACTCACAGGTTGCTGCTGTGGTCAGCAATAGCAGAAATGTGTAGAACATGGCTGTCTGTTGAAGATACTGTCCTGATCTGCAGTGGAGTGAAAAGAAGAAGCTGCTTTTCATACATACAGAGGGACTAAGTCACTTTGCATAGAATACAGACAGTCAACTTTTACCATACGCATCATACTACACGTTTAACTTAACACAGAGGAATGGGCAAGTTGCCAACTACAGAATGTTGACGTGATTTCAGAGGTCTACATCAAAACGTTCTGTAATGACAATGTATAGAATCAAACATACAATATGTATTATATGAGAAATCCAAACGATTAGATATAAGCAGAGGTGTGTAGTAACTATAGTTCCATTTACTCATTCAGATGCACTCCATAACATTATGATGGATTTGTTTTTTCTAAATGATACTTTCACTTCTACCCATGTGAATTAGAGAGAAAAGTAATGTTCCACTGCAGTTCTACAAGGTACTTGAGCTGCTGCATTTGGAGTTCTACTCAAGCTGGTTGTTACTTTACTGAAGTAACCACACTTTTACTAGAAGATGGATCTGAATACTCTACAGCATTGGATGTAAATGTTTATTCAGATAAACTGTTGAAGTTCATCCTGAATTAATTACATCTTATGGTCCACCAAGAGAGGTGAATGAGGGGTAACTCTGGCATAGAAACATGACAAACACAGCTGGATACTTTTTGTACAGCAAAATAAGGAACTGTGTTGCTGTGGGTATCGGGCACAGTAATAAACAGCAGTGTCCTCACTCCTCAGTCTGTTCATATTAAGGTAGACTTGGTTTTTGCTCTCATCATTTGAGATGCTGAATCTTCCTTGCAGTGTGCTAGAAAAATAAATGCTGCTGCTGCCATATCTGATCCAGCCTACATAGTGGCCACTGATCGAGAATCCAGAGCCAGTACAGGTCAGTGTGTGAGATCCTCCAGTTTCAATGACCGCTGGTTCAGACTCAATCAGTGTTTGACCGCTAACACCTGCAAGAACATGATTGATTCAGATTGCGCCATCAAGAAAACTGAAAATCATGTTAAATCCTGTCTTGTTATTCCTCACCTGTAAGACATGCAGA